TTCCCGATATCCGGGTGTTCTCGCCTTCAGGGGTAGAGCGGGTGCGGTGGAAGGCGCGACAACACACATTGTCCGGTATGAACCGTATCGATGGCTGACGCTCTCATTCCCGACTCACAGGCTCAACCTACGCACACAGCCAAGGCACTCTACGACTACACGCGCCAGACAGACGAAGAGGTCTCTTTCTCCGAAGATGCTGACTTGATTGTGTATGACACCTCCGATCCCGACTGGACGCTAGTGGGTGTCAATGGAGATTTCGGCTTCGCCCCCGCAAATTATATCGAGATCGTGGAAGATGCAGGCCACGCTGCTACCCCTTCGGCCCCATCGCATGTACCGGATGAATATGAACCGGAACCGGAATATGAACCTGAACCTGAACCCGCGCCTCCCACGCTTCCGCAGCGACCGGTTGCGACCGCGGATGAGGTGAACGAGGCTCGCGCCCCTTCGCCAATCGACACCGTGCAGAACCCTGCTGCTGCTGCCATTGCCAATATCATCCACCAGCAACACGCCTCCCCCGTCGAGTCTGAACCACCCCGCACTGTGCCTCCGCCACCTCAGCCGGCGCGTCCGACATATGAACCCGAGGAGGACTATCGCAGGGAACCCTCGCCGCCGCCCCCGGCTCTTCCGCAGCGTCCTCCATCAGAATTCATCTCATCGCCTGTACGCGTAGAGTCGCCCCGCGAGCCCGTTCAGCCCCGACATGTATCGCTCCGAAGCAATGATAGCGAGGGCCACGTGAAGGAATCTCCTCCCTACAACAGAGTGGGCCATCCTACTCCGCGTTCCCCGTCGGGTTACCACATTTATACTATCAACGAGATGGTCGAGGTCATGGGCAAGCGAAAGAAGATGCCCACGACTTTGGGTATCAATGTTGCAACGGGAACTATCTTCATTTCGCCAGAAGAAGATGGTGCAGTGCAGGAGTGGACAGCGGACAAGCTGACCCACTACTCTATCGAGGGCAAGCACGTCTTCGTGGATCTTATTCGCCCCAGCAAGAGTATTGATTTCCATGCTGGAGCCAAAGATACAGCTCGTGAGATTGTTTCCGCTCTCGGAGAGATTTCGGGTGCATACCGCGCCGAAGGACTCCGGGAGGTCATTGCCGCCGGCACCAGCGGAGGTCAGAAGAAGGGCCAGATTCTGTATGACTTCATGGCGCAGGGCGATGACGAGGTGACGGTGGCAGTGGGCGACGATGTCATTGTTCTCGATGACAGCAAGTCGGAAGAGTGGTGGATGGTGCGCCGTCTCAAGAACGGCAAGGAGGGTGTGGTTCCGAGTAGTTACATCGAGATTACAGGTACCGTCACCAGCCCGCCACCTGGGGGTGCTGAACCAGGCTTGTCCACAGTGGAGAAGAACCGCATGGAAGAAGCACGTCTCACAAAGGAGGCATCCCGGAAGTCGAAAACCGACTCGATGGCGGCGGATATGCGAAGTCCGGAGGTATGTTTCGTGCACGCCATGGCACCATTCTAAAGAACGAAAAGATGCTAATATCGCTCTAGCGCCAGAAACGTGACAGCAAATCTAGCCACAAATCGAGTAAGTTCTGCCTTTTCCGTACCAATGTGTCTACGATTGACTAAGTTGCGTAGAACCCGATCCTACGAAGGTTAGACAGTGGACCGACCGCACGAAGACTTTCACCGTTGAGGCCCAGTTCATCGGATTGATGGACGGTAAAATTCACTTGCACAAGCAGAATGGGATCAAGATCGCCGTGCCCATCATGAAGATGTCGGTAGAAGACCTGGAATATGTCGAAAAGCTGACTGGAGCCTCTCTGGACGAAGACAAGCCATTGTCTGACATTAAGCGCCGTTCTCAGCGCATCGAGCCCGAAAAGACTCGAAGCTCGCCTGACGGCAAGCAGAATGGTGCTTCTTTCCAGCAGTCCGACTACGATTGGTTCGACTTCTTCCTGAAGGCCGGTGTTGGCCCTCATCAATGTGAGCGGTATTCACAGAACTTCATCAAGGACTCTATGGATGAGGGAATCCTTCCGGATATCACCCCCGAAGTCCTGCGCACCCTTGGACTGAAGGAGGGCGATATCCTGCGGGTTATGCGCTACCTGGACAACATGTTTGGTCGGACAGGTGCCAAGTCTAAACTGCGTAACGTCAGCTTCGGAGGCGAGGAAGTCATCGACGAGGAAGGGGCTGGCGGCCTTTTCTCTGGTCCTGGGGGGATGCTGCGCAATAACACTCGGAAAGGCAGACCTGCACCTAATACGCCAGCAAGCGATGTGGTTGACCCGAAGGCCTTCGAGCAGAAGGATGGCTCGAAGCCTGCAGAGCGCAGTGACACTCCGCCTGCCTCTGCAACTGCGCCGGAACCACCAGTGCAAAAGGGCTTCGACGACGATGCCTGGGAAGTCAAGCAACCCAAGCAAGCTCCCACCACTGCTGCTCCCGCTGCGCCAGCGACTACGTCAAGCCCCCCTCCTGCGTCTACGCCGACTACGAGCCAACCTCCGGCTGCACAACCGCTTACAGGTGCAATGGCAGAGCTCTCCCTGCTTCAGGCTCCCCTTCAACCCACCCCCGCGCCTGCCCCCGCGCCTGCGCCTCAGTCGCCGCCCGCAGCGCCACCGGCCATTCAACCTCAACCCACCATTCAACCTCAGCATACGATCCAGCCTCAGCCTACCATCCAGCCTCAGCCCACTGCTGTGCCTGCACCCCAACTACAGCCGCAGGCGACGGGTGCGTCACCTAGTTTCTTCGCACAGCTCGGACAGCCACAGGCCGCTCAAGCCTTCAGTCCTCAGGTAACTGGGTTCCAGTCGGCTGCAAGACAGCGTCCGCAAGCGCCACAAACTCCACTGGGCGGCAATTCGTTGCTCCCCCCCCCGCCTCAACGACCTCTCTCAGCTCCTCAAAATTACCCTCAGCAGCCCAGTTCATTTGGGCCCCCTACACTGCAGCCTCAGCTAACTGGGGTTCCTCAATCGGGCCCGCAGATTGCCCCGCCGGGTCAAAGCTTGGCCGAGCTGAATCAACAACGGTTCCAGTCATCCCTGCAACAGCCTCAACCGACCGGATTCATGCCGCAAGCTCAACTCCAGAACGGGCTGATGCCGCAGCCAACCGGGTTCCAGCCGCAATCTCAATTTGGAATTCAGCAGCAGCAGCAGCAGCAGACTGGCTATCCTGGCTTGGCACCGCAACCGACCGGGTTTGGAGGTTTCCAGCCACAGCCGCAGCAGCCAATGCAGACAGGCATCAATTCGGTCCTGCCGCCGCCTTTGCAGCCTCAACCCACTGGCATGAACGGTTTCAGCAGTATGCCATACAGTGGACCAGCTCCGCCATTGCCACCTATCCCTCACCAGCCGACTGCTACACCACTGCAGCCCCAGAAGACTGGCCCCGCCCCTCCCATCCGATTTGGTGTGAAGCATGACGCCCCCAAGAAGTTGGCCCCACAGCCGACAGGCCTCCGAGCCAACCTTGCGCAAGCTAGTAAGTTCAGCCTTCAACAATGACCCCACACTTGCAGATTTCTGACCAGTACACTACTTCTTAGCACCTACCAATCCGTTCGGGTTCTGATCCGGATATGTACATACACTTTTCCTCTTGGCGGCATTCCTATACAACCACGCTGCTCTTTCTTGCTGGCGGGAATGGCATGCACATCGCGCATAGACGATGCCGCTTTTATCTAATTCCCTCTTTTCTGCGACTCCCAACGCTATTACGCGTATGGGACGTGGCTTGGTCCGTCAGATATATGCAATGAGTTCAGAAGCGATGTTTCGACTCTCGCCTCCCTCACGCCGCTTTCTTAGAATTCTCGTCTCGTACCCCGGTGCCGGACTCTATATGTAATTTTGGACGCTCGATGTCAGTCAGTTGTCTTTTAGAGGACAATTCTGTTTAATGTGTGAACAGTAGTTGCCCGCTCAAGAGATAGAGACTGATTGCTCGACCTACCAACCGCCTTTCTCTATATATGATTCTGGTTTTCTTTACTCTTCTCTCACCTGTTTTCATGATCGTGCTATTTGGCCCTGTCTTATGGTCTGTGTCTCTGCTTGTCTGATCGGAGGTGTTGCGTTCCCTATCCCATTTTCCTTTTCCTTTGACTTGATATTGTCTTCGCAAATGTGGTTTGCTGTCTTCCGCGAAAGTCTGATTCGTGGCTACCCCCTCTGGGCACCTTATCCTGGTTTCTCCCTTGCCACGCTACCATCTTTGCCATTCATGTACGGTACATATAGGTTGTGGTCCGACAGAATATGGAATATTGTTCATTTACCAACGACTTGAAAGATGATTAATCTTTTGTATGGTACGGTGGGCGGCATATCTCCGTCCAGTCGGTGGCGAATGCCTAAATCAACCTGGTTGATCTGCCGTGCGGCGTTCGTATAAATAAACAACACTGTCACCACTTAGGTTTTCGTAGCTTTCGTTCATACATGGACTTTTCAAAGAATGGTTCTGCTTTCGGTGAGGGATACTATATACGTCAGATACCATGGCTCTGCTACTTGAATTGCCCCACAATCATATCATCCAAAGGTTCACATCAGTTTGCAAAGCTATGTGAGCCCATAAATAAAGATCTAATGGAGGGTCTGAAACTGCATCCTATCCGAGAACATCGAGCAATTTGGAGAGTCATGTTTCGATTTAAGACATTTCGAGACCGAATTTAATTCTGATAGTGGAGACACCTGCGGCTGCACCCGAGTCCCTGACGACAATATCCAAATGACTTGAATTTATTATCCGTAGCAACTACAACTGAGCTGCTTGACTTGCCCTAACAAACCCCATTTAACTTTGGGCTCCATCCGGTTTTTCGAGAAGGTTGTTGGTCAACAAACCAATTCTTGTTCTCTGAATTTCCGTTCTTGTAAAGTGTCGTTGTCATTCGTTTCTAGTGCCTTGCGACTGTATCTCACTTTATATATTCCTTCTTCAACCACGCCCGTCCACTCCATTCCTGTCCGATTGCTAGCAATCTCAAGATCGACAACGACAACAACAACAACAACAGAAGAAAAGTAAAATGCGCTACACGACGTACACCACCACTGCCGCCCTCGCCCTCGGCAGCACCGCCGCCTACAGCCCCGACTCATGGACCTTCGGATACGGCTTCTACATGGGCCCCCCCTGCCTTCTCAGTATTGTTGAGATAAGGCGAGAAGTGTAAGTGGAGCGACGCTGATATGAAGTGTGGTTTGTCTGGAACGTAGGGGCTGTTCGGCTGGTGCGGAGGAGTGGTGCGTGGCTGCTAGTACGTATACTTCGGGTGAGTGTCCCTGGCCCCTTTCTCCATTGTCTCTGCAGAATCCCAGGGAGTAGATGCTAAGTGAAACCCATGCTAGCCGGCCAAGTTGCGCAGCCGTACGTCCCCGTGGCGAAGGGTGCGCCGGTGGATTTCGAGAGTCAGTTGATACACCCTTGTCCCTCTTTCCCCCCTCCCCCCTCTCTCCAACCCTTTTCCATCTATACGTTTGGGCCTGCGTCGGCGAGAGCAACGAAACAACTTCGAACTGACTATCACCACCCTCCACCATTGGAGCTCACCCAAGAGAAACAGTCACCGTCCAACCCACCCAGAACCAGAACCAGAACCAGAACCAGAACCTAGTCCACCAATCCGTCCGCGTCGACGGCATCCTCGTCTCCCAGCAGACCGACCCCCTCTCCAACCCCCTGCAGTACCTCTACTCCGCCGACGAATGCTACACCGGCTCCGGCACCTGCGGCTCGTTGCCGGGTTATAGTGCGTCCCCTTGCCTGCTCTTGCCTTGTTCTCCGCTGCCTATTTCACTCTCTTCTTTCCTTTCTTCTATACTCCAGGGGGGGAAAAGATACTTGGGGTTTCTTCATATCTAGCTGATGATCTCCCGCACTAGGCTGGATCAACATCACCATCGTCCTCAGCGAGGCAGATCCGCAGTTCGGGCAGACGTTGTCTTTGGTTGGCTCGACGAGTAGTCCTCGGGGCCTCTTGACGGCGGATGGGGGCAGCACGTGGCATGCGGAGGCGGTGGTGATTCCCGTGGATGATTTGACGGCTAAGCATTAGGGGGGTTTCTTTCTTTCTTCTGTGGGTTATGTTGTGGGGTCAGGGGGTCAGGGGGGTTGATTGGGGGGTGTGGTGGGGGATGATAGAAGGATTTGTGTAGGGGTGAATGCGGGGATTGGGCTTTGTTGGGGGATTTGTATACAATATCTACAATTTGCTATATAGAGTGGAAGACTGGGTGGAGGCGTTTGTGTCGTTCTCAGATATCTTGTCTTGTGATTTCTACCCCCTAAAGGCTCGCAGGGTTGGCTGTTGCTGTCGGGATTAGATTCTATGGAGCCAGCATCAGGGCTCCAATGGACCTACATCCGAGCCTGAGGCTGTTTTAACATCACATGATCTTCCCAATGGGACAGGCCGGTGCCACTATGTAAATGCATGGACTCGCTATCTGCATGAAGGTAGGTATGTACAGACAGAAGTAAAAATAAAGAGGATATACATGGAATCGACCCCAAGCTAACCATCTGAACGCCAGGTTCGAGATCCAAAAACGCCAGAAGATGGGAGTCGGGCGTGCTATGTTCATGAAGATGTCGTAAATAACCTGTCCCAATAGACAGGTAGTAAAAGTGCTAGCGAACGTGTACATTCATTAAGGTGTACACCGAGAGAGATAACGTCCCCAAATCTAAGCGTCTTCCCAGAGACCAAACACGGGAAGATCCTCAGCCATATACAGAAGGCCATTGTCCGGCATAATCACATCAGACAGCGGCGTATGGCCACCCGGGACCTCAGAAGGTAAAGCGCCAGACGGGATGGTCCCGCCGGGGGAACAGCCGATGGGGATTCCCGTCGTGGTGAGCGTCGAGACGGCCGTATCGTATGCAAGAGGAGGTGCACCCTGGGTGCCATACAGGGTCTCCCAAATGTCGTTGTCCACTTGGCCTGGAGCCGCGGTGGTGGCAGTAGTCATGCTGGAGGGATGAGGTAGTGTTGGTCCCCCGGCCACTTTCTCAGGAGAGAGCGGGGACAAGACGGCTGCTGGATCGCCGCGTCGGCTTGACGGAGTATTGGCATCTGCTGCGGCCGAGGGCTCATCCGAAGTGCCGACCTGACCGAAAAGCTGGTCCACCTGACGACTACGGCGCTCCATCCACTGACGATTTCGTCGACGGACATACTCGGCCACCGCCGCGCGGAGATACTTGATGATCTGGTAGAAGCGACATGCATGAGGATCATGCGGCACGAACAAGCCAAGAAATCGCTCGGCCTTTTCCATTCCCTCCTCCAGCGGGAGTAGGTTGTCGTAGTCTGCAAAGAATGCTGCGCCTAGCACCACAGCTGAGTTGAAGACGGAGTTGATCAGGAAGGGCAACCGGCGAGGGAGATTGCTGTAACGAGCAAGACCATCCACAATGTTGAGACCTCGTAAGGCTGAGTAGACGCATGCATCGGCAAAGAGCGCGATCCGAGAATTGGTGGTCCTGGTGTCGCCGGAGCTTGTAGAATCAGATTTACTTCGCACATACTGCGAGACCCGGAAAACAAGAAACGGACGAGTCAGAAGAATGATCGACCAGTAGTACGACCCGAATACATGCGCTGCGGCTAAGGTTTCTTCTAGATTCTTTGATTCTAGCCGTTCTGTCTGCACCTGCAGAAACATAGGCAGGTTACGGACCCAGGTTCGATGTTGGTTCGAGATAGCATCAGCCACAGTGAGCGATACTACCTGCCGCATATAGACTTCGGTCAAAATCCGTTCGAAGATGCGGCACAAAGAAACGACGGTCATAGATAATTGTTCTTCGGGTTCGAGACGGTGTTGATCTGCCGGAAGACCATCTTCGCGAAGGTCATAATCGAAGTCCAAGGTAGCCGGCGGCCGTCCTAATGAGGCACTGAGGTAAAGGTCCATCATGCGAAGACTCTTCCAGACGCGCTCGCGGGCCCGTCGCTCTCGAGTGCAGAACAGCGAATTGGCATCTTTCCTATGGATGCCAACCGCATATGCCGCCCGGAGCGCGATACCAAGGTTCATGAAGGCGCCATTGCGCCGACACGCACCTAGCATGTACATGGATATCAAGACATAGGATTGGATAGTGTAGATGCTGGGGGTTTCGGTGAATGCAGAGAACGCTAATTGACGTCCACTGATGAAGTATTGTTCTGCCAGGTTCTGGTTGGTGTCTGACACCTGTGCGCCAATCGCGAGCACCAGATAGAAGATCGAGCTGACCGTGTCTTCGTCACCAGTGGGGTTTCCCACCCAGTTGGCAAGGCGCGGGTGAAATTCGTTGAGATCAAAAAGGTCTAGCAGTGGGCTGGTAGCAAGGACGTATTGACGCGCCAACCGCTGGGCCTCCTCGTTGCTGGGAGGCGCGATCAGGGGCCCTGTCTGTGTCGAAGAACTATTTTGGAAAGCCTCCAGCATTGAATGTCGCGAGTTATCTTCCGTGAAATCACAGCGGCCGATCGACGAGGAGACGATGCGACGGACGCTCTGCAAGAAGGATAAGCTTGCGGAATCACCAATGTACATGAACTTTCCCTGTCCATCACGCAAGAGCCTAGCCACCTTTGGCACCGGCGCTGTGCCATCCTTATCATCCGCCGCCTGTTGTTCCAATGTTGCACTACGGTCTTCGAGCGAGTTCAGAAGTCGGTCCATGGCCGTCTGCCGCTGCGGGGTTGGGACGAGGTGTTCGCTGAGAAGCATGGTCTCTTTCGGGGTGTTGCTTGGCTTGAGCAAGCGGGCGGGCTTGTCGGAGAAATGACATTCGGACTCTTTGCGGCGTTGGACGCAGATTGTACATGGCTGCTCTCCGTTGCATTTCTGCTTCCGTCGCTTGCAACTATCGCAAGCTCTCCTGCACCGGAGTCGAGCACCGGGAGCCGTGCTTGCCCGCGGCATAATGAAGCATGTATTCAGAGAAGCTTGTATCGAGCCGTCGAAGGCGCGAGATGGCGCTAAAGAAAGGATGCAAGGCAGGTAGGCAGGCAGGTAGAAAAAAAGGTGAGGATCCCTTTAGGCTCTAAGCGTAAGCAGCAGGCTAGCTAATTAGATCGGCTAGCGATGGGCTTAAGCTGGAAACCCAAACTAATTAGTCAATAGTGGCGTGCAACATCTCCTGTTCGCTAGCTCGGGCAATCTGCAATGGACGGGGAGTTCTGAGCCAGTGAGACGCGCGAAAGCTTGCTGGGAAGCGAGATCGACACCACCGGCAGCATTGCCTTTTTGCTTTCCCCGAATTGCGGTGGAAAGTTGGGGTTCGGCGGAGGAGCATTGAACCAGACGGAGAGAAGAGGGGGGAAAATGGATAGTTAATGCCCAGTGGATTATGGATCTTTCCGTGCATGACTCAGCTGCACGATGCGAACTTGGCTGCATCGGGTAATGACGTGCGCTCCCCCCGATCAACGTCTCCTTTACCTCCGAGCTGGAAATGTCCCACTAATGGAGATGTTCAAGTACAATTTGCAAGAGGACAATGATCACCAGATGCACGTACATTAGTTCAATCTGACTACTACTATGTATATACCCTAATCGGCCATGCCACCAACCTCACATTACACCCATTACTCAGGTCGGAAAGAGACAATCTTTCCCCAAGTGTCGGCCGTGCCCCAAATCCCATGGCGCAAACACGATAACTGCACAATCTGACTGTGGTCGACAAACAAGTTGACATCAATGCCGAACTCCCGGATGTACCAGTTGAAGACCTTCGGGTCTGCTGCCTCGAACATGACGCCTTCCGAGGGAAGCTCTTTCATGATCTTCGATACCACATCGGTCCGCCACGATTCCACATTCTCGGTGATGCCCTCCGACTCGATCATCAAGCGCTCGACGCCTGCGTCGAGGAATTTCCGGCCCAGGTTCACCAACTTCGACGGATCAGACGTGCCTATAGCTTCCAGCCCTGCCGCGGGGGTGTCGCCGCCGGCACCGAATTGAATCCCTAACTCGGGCTTCGCTTTCAACTTGTAGGAGTGGACCTTGTCTACAAGGCGGAGCCAGTCGTCTTCGGGGATGGATAGAAATCCCGATGAGAGCTCGACGACATCGAACCTAAAGTAGAGAGCATGGATTAGATGTTTTGCAGAGACGAGGTAGCCGGGCTTGTTTAGATGGAAGTATACGCACCCAAGGTCCTTGCACTTGCGAAGGTACTTATCCAACACGGCATTTGCATCGGGATGAGTGAGTAGGTGCTCAGCCCAACCGCCCTAAGGGGTGTTTAGCTAGCATCCAGGAAGACAACAGTATCATCTATCCCGGCTTACTGTGGAGACATAGACTCCGTGGTCGTGAGCGAGATCGATTAACTCCCTCAAAGGCTTTTCTGGGAAAAGAGAGAATGACCCTATGTGACTGGCTTAGCCTCTATCGTCCCGGAGCAAGCTGAATAGCTGGAGCTGATTACCTCCTGCAAACTTCAAGCCGTCCACATGGGTTCCCATGCTTTTGGTGGTAGTTGTCAGCAGCAAAATATCTCCAATGCCTACACGGTCGAGCGGCTCACGTCTCCAGCACATCTGCTAGGTATCGTTTCCCCATGGCCTGTACTTCTAATCAGCTCCTTATGGGTCCTTTGAAGCACACAGCACTCCACATATGCTAAGGATTACGGCTTGGTGACCGGCATACAGTATAGTATGGGCCCCTGATTTCGGTGACACCCTTGGTCCTCGGTTTGGGTGGTCGGGGGTTTGACCGTGCAAACCCGAATCCATTCTTCTTATCCTGGAGCAGCGTGATCTCTTTCTTTGCCGATGTGGATGAAGAAGAACATCTTGTGGGCAGTACCGGCACCCAGGCTGAGGCGCTGGGGAGCTGTCGCAACGCAAAATTGATATTACTTCGCAAAGTGGAGGCAGGAGCGACGCGAGGGAGCGGTGTAAACATATTGAGGGTGAGTACTGATTATACAGAAAGACTAAAGCTATGTGCTGCGAGACAAGAGAGTAGGGAAGTGGATTCCTCAAGAATCAATTGCGTTGTGGTCAATACTGTACGGGCTTTCGGTTGCATTGAAGATTGACGTAAACAAGATCTCATCCTCCTCCTTGGTGAGAGGCATGGCGTGATTGGCTCGAGACATGTCAATCAATTGTATGGGGGCTTTTCTACCCAGCAAACACTGATCCAAGAGTTTTGGGATCTTTTAGTCTAGATTGGGAGAACGCAAATCCTCGGACAAGGAGCACAGTGTAACGAAAGTGGGGAGTGATTTAACAATAGCAGCTAACGCTAGCATGACGTCATCAATAGGAGACAATTCCTCGGCCAATTTCCTGGCCTGGAGGAAAGATGCTCCTTTTGATACTTCACATATCATCAAATGATAAGTACCAAACTTAATGAAGCTACCTCAAATCACAACAAGTACTTCTCACGAGGAACAAGCTTGTCTCTCCTGCTGCTATGCTGTACTTGGCAGGCACCCTGGATCATCACGGCGGGTCAATCCCTTAGTTTGGGAGTCTCCATTAGTCAGTAAGGACCGACCGAAGGGTCTTCGACGGATTCGGATCTAGGCCGCGGCGCTGAACCTAGGTGGTGAGCCGGTTTTGGCAATAAAACCAGTTGGAATCATGGATCTGATTCACTGCACCGTTCTCAGGATGGAACCACTTAGGGATACCCGCTGACTGAGCTTCACTTGCACGGAGTTCGGTGTCAGCGGAAACTGGGAGCGGACGAGCTGAGTTCCGGTGCCGACACTGGACATTATTAATGCACACAAAGCCTTATGACGGATCAATTTACATTGACGGAGGTTCAGATGGGGGGGGGAGGGCAGGACCTTCGGGGATTCGCCAATTCGGAGGTATTGGCGGCTTGACTTGGGCGGGCGCTCGGAAGCGGACCAAGTGGCTCCAGCCGTGGCCGATGCGAAAACTCATGCTAGGCGCTAAGCACGGGGGGGGGGTTTTCTTCTCTCGTACGTAAAGTACTTGGTTCGATGTGTAACCGCAGTACGTGGACCGCTTCAGGCGAGCTACAGTAATTGAGCTCATAATCTATACTGGTAATATGAGAATGCCGACTCAGTTGTTGAGCAAATCTGATGTACTGAGCAATGTTGACTTGGGCGGACATGAGTATGTACAGTAAGTAGGGAGAGTGCGTACTGTACTGTGTAAGTTACCAGTCAGTACACTGTTGGGCAAGACAAGGCTGGACAAGGCTGAACAATCCGGGGAGGTGATGTTCACTGATCGACGCATAGGCCTCTCTGTGCGACTGGGTCGAGTTTCGTACACGCCTGCAACCTCACATATGTACAATACTACTACTATACGAGATACATATATGTACGGGCATGCAATGCTATGACGAGGATTGAGGAGGATAACAAATCAATAATCAGCACCGACCGGCTTATCGATTCTGGGATAACCCAGCTGTGAGTAATCAGAATTTGAAGGGAGACCCTCCACCTCGTGACCATGTGACGTCTTACCTGGTTTGGGACAAGAAAGCAGCTGCTGGTGCTGCAAGATCCCGTTCCACTCCCGTTCCACCAACCATTGGTTGTTTCCCTTGTTTTCTTCGGATTGATAGTGGGGCGGCCAGCTTCCGCTCTGTGATATTACTAGTCAATACCAAGTACGTACCTACTCGTACTTCTCCTACAGGGAGGTACTTAGGGCTGACCATTCATTCACAACATACTCAGTTGAAGATTCGTTCACCGCTGAACTACTCGAGGTGTGTTGGCCATTATTGTCATGGATGGATCATACCGTCACTTTCCCAGCGTAGTCGTGATCATATTTCGAGTAGTTCTTAATAGTTCTTCATAGCAAGCTCGAGAGTCATGAGCCCGGACAGTAAGAGATATGACTTGTACTTTTGCTGGCCATAGAAGGTGAAATCTATCACAATCTCTTCACTTGAACCAGGACGAGCCAGTCATGTACAAGTACTACCATGCCAAGGTAGACTAGGGTCTGGAAAGCCGATGTCTCAAAAAAAAGAAAAAAATAAACACCCGGCTTCCGGTAGCTCCGATAACTCCAAACCACTAATCTTTAGCGGTCGCCTGCTTTCCTTGGTTGCCCTTCCCTGGCCTCAGCATGTGTTAATTGTCACGACATATGCATAGAATAGCTACCGGTCAGGCAGGCCTCCCTTCTATCTGCTTGGGTGAGCAGTTCTTGTTATTGAGCTTCTTCCACCTCGCATGGTTCCTCTTCTCCTCCCCCCACTCACCCCCCACTTGACTGGGTCCAAGTACCGTACTATCTCGCCAAGTTCAAAGCTCTTTTTCTTACCTTTTGACTTTCTTATACTAAAAACCTAAGATACTTAAAGCATGGACTTGCCCTGAACCAAGAGGAAGTGGGCAGAATACGTAAGTGGAGGTTAGGTACCTACATGAAATCCCCTCCCGTACATACTGTGCATACATACATAATCAGCGACTCAACCAGCAGGTAGCGTACCATCTTTCCCAGTTTCCTTTTCCCATCCCTCTCATCTTACATCTCACCTCGCTTCGAATCAGCTTTCCTCCCTCGATATCTGTACCTATAATGCTAGCACCCTCTTTCGCATCTTAACTTCTTCTTTTCTCTCAGTCGCTTATTCTATCACAGCCGCTCATCCTCTTCGAACCACGACGCTCCCTTCCTTTCTCCATCCGCCTCGCCTAGATCCTTAGTCTTATTCCTCCCTTGGTCCTGGATCATTCTTCTGCCACTAGCCAGACCAGCGGATTCCTTTTCCGCCCTCATTCATCATGGGCGTAGGGGCCATTCTAGAACCTCTGACCGTCATCGTCCTCCTCTTCGGAGGCACCTGGATCAACCGAAGTACAGGGTCATTTCCTCCCCGGAGACCTCGTCGCACTTCCAATGTCGTGTCGCGTGATTCCTCTCCTGGCGCAATCGAGTCTGGCGTCTCTACCCCAACTGTCAAAGATACTCTACTGAACCGCCGTTCTTCATCGTCTTCGTCGCTCCCGCAGCTCGGTCAGACTGGTTGGCGCAAGAGACAAATCGGGTTCTTCAACTCGACCTTTGAAGTCACGTCTCCAGACACCACTGTTTTTCATGATCGCTTCCTCAGTCGCTTGCTCCGCAAGTTTCCCTTTCTCGTCGAGTGCTGGTACTGGGCGCTTGTGTACTGGGTATGATTGAACCTGCATTCCCGCTCGCAACTCAGGCCGGAAGACTAACCTACTGGATACAGACATATCAACTAGGTCGCGCATTCACTGCTGTCACTCTTAAAGATGATACGGTCGATGTGGCGCGCAAACATGCACTTCGGTTGATACAGATCGAGGAGGCACTGGGTTTGTTTTGGGAGGTTTCAATCCAAAAATACTTTCTTCGCCATCCCACTCTCATGACCTGGACCAACTGGATCTATTCGTTCATTCACATTCCTGGAACAATCGCCTTTCTCGTCTGGCTGTACTATTTCACCATCACAAGGAACAGATCCGATGAGTCGCAACCAGGAAAACCGCGCGGGCTAGTGAGCGGCTCACCCGCGGGGTCTCATCTTTATCAGGCTCGGCGTCGAACTCTTGCCGTGTGCAATCTGCTTGCCTTTGTGGTTTTCACTCTGTGGCCCTGTATGCCGCCTCGTCTGCTGAGCGATAAAGATGCGAAGGGGCCCGACGCAGCCTTGGGCCGTAGCTACGGGTTTGTTGATACTGTGCACGGAGTCAACGGCGCGGGCAGCGTCTGGACCGAGAATCGCTTCTGCAATCAGTATGGTAAGTCTTGTGGTCTTGAAGACCAGCTAGGCGTCCCGGGCTATTTCTGAACAATGTCACTGACTGTGTGCTAGCCGCCATGCCGTCGTTGCACTTTGGCTACTCCCTCATGATTGGTCTCACCATCATGACCATCCCGCTGCCGCCACATCAGCGTCGCCGCACCCGCGTGGCCATTGGCCCTTTGAAGCTGCAGCTTCCTTCGTGGCGTCGGCTGGGCTGCCTCGCTCTGGGCTTTGCCTATCCTTTTGTGATCCTGGCCGCTATCGTCGCCACCGCGAACCACTTCATCTTGGACGCGATTGCCGGTGCAACGGTATGCGCTCTCGGATGGAGATTCAATGGCATCCTCTTGAATCTGCTACCCCTGGAAGATTACTTTCTGTGGGTGGTTCGTATTCACAAGCCAGCATCGAACACCACGGACGGACTCGAAGACGCAGTCGGCTGGGTCGACGATGGCATTTCCGAACACACCTCTCTCCCTTAATGCAGCGACAGTCGGGAGGTGATCCCCTTCTGCCTACTTTGCCTGTCCTAGAGCTTGATGATACCCTTGCATATGCAACATTAATGTCTATGAACACACTCCGAACCATGACCTCGATGACTCCCTGCTAATATGCTTTCTCGATTTATTATTTGGCCGTATCATTACGTCCATCATGTCATTGCAATTGACGCAGTCCTTACAGCGTATATACAAGCATCCTTAGGAAATAATCCAAGTATGAATACCTGATGGTTTTCTTTTTCTTTCTGTGTCATTGTACGAGTTTAGACCTTAAATGAGCATGATTGGCGGTAGTCAAGTGGTTCCGCGCATATGAGTCGAATGGGATCTCGAATTACGCAGAGTTGATCATATCTCCAGCGCCCGTAACGTGTGCTATCGAGGAAGGACTGGTGGGGTTGATACCACAGTAGGTATCTTTCGGGCTTACCTGGAGAAGTATGTAAGGTTAGGCGGGACAGGATAATCTTTCAACTCAGTGAAAGCTCCCGAATTCAAAGTGGAAGATCGCAAGTTAGTGGTGAATTAGCGAACTGAGGTGGTATTCAAAAAGGAGGAGGAGGAGGGAAAGTGTGAATGAACAGTGCATGTGTACTTCGTATGGTCTGGGGAGGGCGATGATTTCTCCATTCTTGACCATCATGGATTACTACTACTAAACTACTAAACCCCTACTTACTGTACTCTTCTTCTACCCTTTCTCGCATTCACACCCAACCCCATCACTCCTTTTCTCCCTGTTGATTGTTGAATTAAATTCCCCTTCAATCATCTCGGTAGATAGAGATAAGACTTTTTGGTCTTTGTTACATGAGCAGTGGTGGGTTTCCCTGCTCTTTACCTTGCAAAGCAGATCCTTGCGACCGCGGGGTTTCTTGGTGTTGCTCGACGTCCTCTTCGCGTTCAGTCGCTCTTGGCTTGACGAGGGTGCCACCAGGTCAGT